GACAGAGCGCTAAGACTGAGCCGTGCAGGATGGAAAAGCAAAAGAAAAAGAGTCGCTTAAGATGCAAAGACAGGTCTTCTTGATACCCGAGGCTGCCCCTGATTCGTAAACCTCGTGCTCCGAGATTTTCCACAAGCTTGGCACTCTCAGATTTCGCATATTCAGAATCGAACTCTGTCCATCTCGCCTCCGATTAGGATTATCTGCAGAGTTGCTGGTCCTGCTAGTGGTTACTGATGCTGTTGCTGTGCCGTTGCTGTTGCTGTCGTCATGACTTTACTGAAGTGGCACACCATCATCCCCTGATCGAGTCACATAAGACCACGCCATTCTTCCACATCTGATCCGTCCGGACCCCGACGCAGGCAGCATCTGCCGGCACTCGGCCCGCTGGCGGAGGCAGCCGGAAGGACACTTGAACCTGGCCGGGCTCGGGGTCCTCCGTTTCCCGTTTCTCCGCGCCCTCGAAAGGCTTCTCTCTCTCCGATTGGAATGATGTACCTTTATGTCTTGCCACTCGCGCATGCCGATGAGGGTCATTGGTCCCCTGGAACCTTTGTCCGTCCAGCCGATGGGAAGGAGAGGCACCTTAGCAACTCAACTGTGGCAGGGAGTGGATTCAAACATGGTGTCGGCTGATGCTCTCACCTGAAAGCAGCAGCTGACCTTCGGTTCCAGTGGTTCCGGAAGTTCCGGGGCAAGGCCAAGGTCATGCTGAATGCACTCTGGACACACGACAGCGCTGTGAAGAACCCTGCCCGGCCCGACTTTCCATTTGTTGGACCTGGGCACCATCTGCTTGAGGCTGCGCATGCCATCCTCTACTCGGTGGATCTCGAAGGAACCGATCTGGTCGGCAAACCACCTGGCGACAGCGCCGTGCAAAGCATGGGATCTGCAGCACAGGGCCCCTAAGTTTGAAGCAGTGCAAGCACCTAGCATTCTCCGAATCTGCTGAGCTCTGGAAGTCGTCTGCATAGTTCAAAGGGAAAGAAGGCGACGATGGTGGAATCCCTTGAAAGCTTCCCTTCTGACCGGTCTTGATCGTGGTCACCGTAATCATTGCACCAACAGGGACCTTGAGCGAGAATTTGCCGTTCAGGACCTGTACTGTCGAATGCTTGAATACGGACGGATCGGCATCGTAAGACTCAAAGTTGGAATACCTGGGCGCGACATGGCACGACGTCTTCAAAAGGCCTGTCCCACTTGCAGGCGTACAGCCGGCTTCACATGGCAAGTCCATGCAGGCAGGATGCCAGATTTCCAGCTCGTCTGGCGGACGCATCGAAGGAGACAGCAAGACTGTCAAGGTTTCCTCAAGAGTCGGGGGTAGAGCTTTCCATGCACCACAGTGTGAATTTTGGAGCTCGGGCCCGGGAGCCTCCTCGACCTGGAAGTTCGGTAGCGGGGGCCGAGTGCAGGAGGCGTGGTCGCCTCAGCCATAGAATGGCTTGGTGCAGCTGCGGCCACTGCGGCTTGCGAAAAAAAGGCCTGGAGGCTCCAAAGCAAGTCAGGGCCCCCACGCGAGATTTTCACGAAGTTCATAGTGAAGTCGTCTGAGGAAGGATCCACCCACGCAGTGTAGTACCCTCCGCGCGGCAGCTCGCCCGACCCTGAGCCGTTGGCGAGATACCGCCATCCAATCTTCGTGAATTGGGTGACGTGCCTCAGATATGCCTTCATGCTAGAAGATTGGTTGGCTACCTGTCCGCAAAAAAAGATACGTGGTTTCGGCCCAGCAGCGCCGTCGCCCAAATGACCGGGTTCACCTCGTAGTGGCCGCTCCACGGTTCGACCGACGTCAGCATGGAGCTGGCATACCAGTCGGTACCGTGATAGTAGGCACCTGCACAATCGGACTGTCGCAGTCTGCCAGCCCATGTGGAAATGATTCGGGCCACTCGCGCCTACCAGGTTCCACATAATGGAAGATGTCATCCTGACGGCTTCTCTGCCGCTTGGCCGTCAGTAAGACTACAAGGCAAATCGTCAGCAGCTGAGGTAAATATGCTTACGAATGCTGTTTGAAACTTTTGGGCGGGAGCAGATTGGTACACGTGGAGAGTTTTCTCTTCCAGCAGCGAACACGCCCTGGGCAGGGTCGGAAGGGGCCCCGCGCAGCCGATACAACGTGGTGACTCCAAACTACGGACCCCTGATATTCATGAACTGAATCAGGAAGTCGTCCATGCCAGGCAGCCTGTTGATGACCCAGTGTGAATTGATCACGCGTCCCCAGCAGGCAGCACCGTTCAAGTCGTCGTAGGACGAAGACTCCTCTGAAGCCCAGACAGGCTTGCCCAGCTGACGACATGCCTCAGATGTCCAGAAATACTAGCACGGGCGCTAAGAATGTCCCATCAACAAAGGTATAGCATGTCAGTCAGCTCCAGTGGACAACACTCTAAGCGAAGGCGGACCTGATCAATCTCGACATGACATGGCTCCATGCGAGTCATATCTTCCCTTCCTCAATTCTTGTCCGGGCTCGTGGCGGTTTGGCCAAGGGGAGCGAAAACGCATGCGACTGAGTTCAATTCCTCACAGCTCTCGAACCGTTGCGTTCCAGAGTTCCATGCGCTAGTCTAGCGCCAAGCGCCGCTCCTACTCGCGAAGGAATCGTCACATGTAAGTGGGCACCGTGACCCGCATGGCTTGCCACGATGTTGGTTCAACCGCAGTCACAAAACTCTACTGGTAAGAGAAGTGCAGCAACACACGAGCCACTAGTAGCCCTCTAGACTCCAGTTCAGGCTTGGAACTTAACAAACAGCAAAGCAGGTGCAACATTTTCTCGGTTTTTGACGGCGCGCTGAGGTGGCGAAAGAACCGGAGGAGGCAGAATCAACTGCCAAGTTACCGAAAAATCTGCAAAGTCGCTGGGATAGTGCAAACCCACTATGTCCACGGCATCCGCGTAAGCCTTGTCTTTCAGCAGCTCGTTGCAAATATCCAGAGTGCCATCCTTAACCACCAGCTTCGTTCCTTGGGTCCGGCTGCAGATAACACCCATCAGCCCGCGGGCACCACAGGCGAGGCATGTCCACTTCATTTGGCACAGTGCTGTGCCCATGTGAGCCCAACTTGGCTTGCCTGCAGGCTTCTAGCGAAGCCGGCCTGGTTCAGAGTTTTTCTCAGGACCTGCACCTTGGGGGCAAGGCTCTTTGTATCAGCAGGTCACCAAACACTGGAATGCAGTACCGCCGGCACTGCGAAGGGCATGCTCAGTGGGATGACAGGCAAGGGCAGTTCCATTTTCATTGAGATGGGGCACGAACTTGCTGTCGGAGGCCCGCTCATTCCAAATCCCCAAGTAATCAATGTCGAGCCTGGCTAGCCAGCGGAGCGTTGCACATCCCTGAGACTGACCCTTTAGTCGCAGACCGTCCATTCACGTGCAGCCACGCGGCCCGTATTCAGTCTTGGCCCCAGCAACCCATGCCACCAGGTATCGTGCTGTTTGCTCCGGAAACTTGAAGGGGTCGCCAGACCCTTCACCGACCCACCCAGGAAACGCCCAGGCAAGCCCGTACAGCTTGATCTCCGGATTTCGTTTCTTGGCCTCTCAGAGTCGCAGGACGGCTTGAGCTAACTCACCCTACAAACATGACGGAGGCTCGAGGGCACAGGCCTCCTGCATCAGCCACCACCTCAGTGACAATCTTCCAGGGCCCTAAACCAGTCCCGACTCTGAGCCGCTGAGCCGCTCATAGCCGGTGTGAAGGTCGATTCTGTCTTCTGTGTGCATGTGAGAGGACTCCGTCCCATCCGTCGACTGCGAGTCGCCCCCGATCTCCACCTCAAGGAGTGGAGATCGGAACGAAGACACACGAAGCAGCCGATTCCCCGCCTTCAGGATCTGCAGTGAGGCGCCGAAGTTGGGCTTGAACAGATAGTCCAAGATCTGGGAGCGCGATGGCTCGGCATAGTGGGGAAGCAGAACCTCGATGTGCTTTTGATTTTGGTGGCATGTAAATGTTTGAGAAACGGTGACCCTGGCGGCAGAAACTACGCGCACAAGCATAACTCCGCTTGTGCCAGGATGCACTAGTTGCACCACCTCCGCTCAAGCCTCCAATACCGTCAAAAGTGGCCGATGTGTGCGTGCGATCCACGACAATCCTTGGCTATTTCAGTTTTTGGTGGCTTTTGCCATTTGCTCTTGCACACACAGTAGCGGTTGCCAGATCGCAAGAGTAGCATTGGCAGGAGAGGGCTCGATCGCAACAGCTTTGGACAAGCTTCGGTGCTGCAGATGCTTGGACAAAGGCTGCGAAACACAGTCCGGCCAGGCAGAAAACCTCAGCACGCCTCCAGAAAGACATGCCTCAAACTACCGCGCACAGGTCCTCTATGCCCGGACGGCTGGAGCCAAGAAGTACATTGCTTGAATTTGATGGTTAGCGGCTAAAAGTGCATGTTGTTGAGCTTATGGTCGCAGAGCGAGCAGGGCAAAGTAAAGAAGGAAGAAGCCGCCTGTAAAGGCTACTGGCCGTACAGCTTTCTGTCCTTCTGGGGTGTTGGGGATGCTCTCGGCCCGAAACTACACGCCGTTGCGGTTTGGCTTCCGCTCGTCAAACCCTCATCGACAGGCTTCAAGGACCCGAATGTTCAACTGTCTCAACAACCAGACCAAAAAGAATGGCTGGCACCTTCGCGAATTGTCTTTTGCATTCACGTGCAAGGCCGTACTCGCCCGACCTATCTTTCGGTCAAGCACAGATCCGGCACGGATCCCTACTAGCAGCGTGCAGGTATGCTTAGCATGACCCGCTGTGCCGCTGCCCAGGAGCTGTCGCAGCTGCTGTCGGATGGCTTTCGGAGCGTGGCACTACTCAATACCGCAAACACTAGCGGTTTCCTCCATTGCCGCTCCACAGCACCCGTTCCTTCGAATTCCTGGCATTCACAAAGCCTGTTGCTTGGTAACACCAGAGAGCAGTTGGCAAGGTGCGGATGTGGCTGATGTGGGATTGCTTGGCCCTGTCGGAATCTCCTCAAGCTTGGGCTTGGCCCTCAGTTTCAAAGCAGCCTGGCGGCGCCGGCGCTTCCTCGCAGCACGAGATCAGAGGCGGCTGCCCGGCTGGCGCTAGGACCGTTAGGACCGTTAGGACTGAAGCTCTTGCTAGGCTTTGCTGCTTTGCTATCGGGATCACAACATCCCTGAGTCCTCAGGAGCTGTTGGAAGATCCGTCTTGAAGCCCTCCGCGAAGCTCTCAAACTCTGGGCTGGATACGGGCGCTTCGACGGGGACGCCGCTGTCCTGGTCCCCGGAAACCGTGCGAAGACACACACACACACAGAGAGATGGGCCAAAGCAGCACATTTCCTATCACAAGCGCCGGGTCACCAGCTGCGGCTTCGGCACCAAGGCCTCGGCAGGCGATCCTGACAGCAGGGCCAGGCGGCCATGCCCGAAGCTTCCACGACGTATTCTTTCGTTTCTGTCGGCTCCGCGTCTCTCCAAAAGAGAGGGGCCTGGATCTTCTGCACGCGAAGGCCCGGAGCTGGCGCCTGGGGCTCAAACCACTAGGGATTGAAACGCCGAGCTACGGCTTATGCAAAGGACGTCCGATTCGCATGTGAAGAAAGCTGTGGCTTGGCCTTTTCTCTTGGGGCACTGCTGCAGTTTTCTGCAACAGGTTTGTCTCGGTTGGTTTCCACCCCAAAGGCAGCAATAGGGACGGAGTCCCCCCATCCAGGCAATCGTAGCAATGCGCCGGGACCCTTCGGTCTAGGCGTAAGCCAAACATACTCACAGGGCCGTGTCTTGGCTGGATCTTGAAACTTACATTACACAAAGCGGGCTCTTCGCCACTCTGATTTGAAACTCTTCCCCTGCCCTTGCCACCGTCATGCTGAAACAATGTGCTGATTGAATTGAAAGTTTGGGCACTTGGAGTCATGGAGTGCTGAGGCTGCAACTTGGCAAAGGCGGCAACGCAGGAGCATCAGCTGCCACAACCAAAGTCGATGCCTCACAGATGCTCTCAGCAAAGGCCGGCAGATGTCAGACGCACGAAAGTTCAAAAGTGCCTCCGGCTTGGCCGGCACGGCTTCGGCCTCCTCCAGGGACGCACTTGGCCTGCGAGCTCTACTTTGGCCCTTGCTGATCCTCGCTGTGCGACACGTCTACCCACAAAATGCAAATTCATTCAAAGCCGCACAGTAGTGAATTGTCTTCAATGTTTCGTCTTCTGCTCAGCTAGTCTCTGCTTCACTGCGATAGAATGCAGATGGAAGAGGTAGGATCTGCCATGGCAATGTAGGACGCGACTCAACTCGTTAGCATCCACGACTCACGACCTTTACCGTTGCTTAAAATTCTGCAAAATCTAAGGCTGCTGCACGTTTCACTCGTGTGGAAGAGTCTGGACTGAGAATGCTATGACTGTCACATGATATTGGACAAATGGTCAGAGTGCAGTGATGCTCTCACGCTGCACGACCTTTAACCCTACACCTAGCAAAATATATGAGAGAACCTTTGCCCGTTTTGGGTGATAGTACCAGCTTAGGGATTATGGATGGGGTAAGTGGCTATTCCTATACTGGTTTTGGTAATGGGGAAGTAGTAGTGATATAGTTGGTGAGATGTAGGGAGAAGTATAGGAATGATCCTCTCATGTTCACCCAAAACGGGCAAAGGTTCTACTAACTAAAGGCCCCATCCTGCGGAGTGCACCGTGGACTTAAGGCCCGTGCTCATCACTTTCTGGAGCCGGTGCCACTCTGGATGACACCGCAGCCTCCACGTCTGGTGTTGCCTGTGCATCTGTGCGCGTGACGGCCATCCGAGAGCAAATGCGAAGCTTCTCTCCGACAGGCCTTGTCCGTCTTCCCCTCGGACTTCTTCATATTTACATAGGCCAGCCCGCCCATACACAGCAAGAACACGATGATGGCAACTGGCAGGAATGTCTCGATGCAGGCTCGGACAGCTAACTAACCTCATCGCCCTCACCCCGCCTATGATCAGGACCACGCTCGGCGGCTCTTCCTCCACCGGCACGAGTTCTTGTCTGTACACCACGGTTGCGGCGATGAGTTCTGCTGCACTGGGATCCGCTGCACACTTGAGGGTTCCCTTGGCTCTGAGAATCGGTTGCACATGAATGCAACATCTTCCCCGGTCTTCCCCTGTTGGAAAAGGAACGACACTCGCGCAGGCAAGCTGCAGGAAGTGAATCAGAAATCTGCCGCCACAGCCCATCTGTTGTCCATTGCTCTGCGACCGCATCGAAAACAATGCAGGCAGGCACGTAAGCATACCTGGAAATGTGCGACAGCAAAAAGAGCAGCGGAACGAAGAGCGGTGGCGCAGCTTTGCATCTAAGACGCCCTTCCAAAGCAGGTTCCGTTGGGAACTCGGGCAGGGGCAAGTCCAGCACAATCCGACCTCCGGCGAGGCTGCCAGCCGCACGTCGGCAGTTGCAGTACTGAACGGGCAAGGACGAAGCCGAAGAATTCTGCACACACGGTCGAAAGGTGCCTGAGATGTTGAAGGGCGAACCACACCGTCGCATCTCAATCCTTGGAGCATGGAAATGCGCCAAAAGCACCTCCGAATGTGCTCCCGTCTTCTTTCAGGTACCTCGCCGGTAGGGGCGCATCCGAGATGTGGTCATGAGAATGGGCTTTTGCCACCTTGCCCCTCTGTTCAGAACAAGGCCGTGGATTCACATCTGACTGGAAAAGAGCTCGTGCATCCGGGCAGGCCCTCAAGCACATCAAGGGTTTCTGTCTGTGTGTAGGGTAGTGAGCTCGGAATTACAGGTCTTGGCCGTCTTGGGTTTGCAGATGTGCAACCAGACTCTGGCACGGAAACTTCTGTGCCTACACCCTTTTGGGGTCGGAGAGTTGGATGCGGAAGCAGATTGTCAGGAGGGGTCGAAGCAGCGCCGAGCAAAACTGCCTCTGGCCTCAAAATCAAAGACACTCAATCCGATCCCATGATCAGGACCCAAGCTGTATAATATCCAGTCCTGTGGTTCCTAGCTATGAAAGCCAACCCCACAAAACACCACCGAGAAGATGCGATTTCACTTGCGGCTGCATGAGACACTTGGCACCCCTGTTGGCAATCGGTGGCATGGTCTCTATCCCTTGTCGCATTCTCGCTCAGCTAGGCGAGGTGTTGAAACCTGCCGGACAAGTCCGAACGTTTCTCGCCAACCTTTCCTGGGTAACGAAGGCTTCGCGTCTCCGACGCATAACGATGGCGTCAACCCACGCACTCTCGATCTGAGACGAGGCACACATGGACATCTGTCAGGTTCCTGAGTTCGGAAAATACTGCACGAAAAGCTTATGTGTGACTCATGCCTGTGGCAACCGCAAGATCGAATGCAGAATCGTCAAACTGCTCAAATTCAGATGAAGAGTCGTGACGTCGGCACCCACTCCCTCTGTCGACACGTTCGGCCACGCATATGGGTTACCTGATAGCAGCAAGTGAAACAAGTGGACTGAAAAGGCAAGCGGCTAGTTACTTACCCGTGCAGTACAGGACTAAAATCCGAAAAGGAACTTTGCCGCCATGTAGTGACTTGGCCGGTAACGGTCCCGCATCCCGCCTGGCAAAGCCAATAAGACAGACGTACTAGTACGAGCACGACGAACACTGCTACTGCTGCTGGTGCGAAAACTGCGCAAAGCGGCTACGAGGACGACGACGACCACCCCCCATCACCGCACCGGCGACGACGACACCCGCCACGACAAGCAGCAGCAGCAGCGGCGTCACCAGACTGTACTTGACGGCATTGCTGTGATCTGTTGCTGGCGATAGCGTGGAGAGTGCCTGACCGTCAATCTCCGGAAGTGGGACGGTGCTGAATCCTGCGAGGGCATGACGAGCCTTTGAAGACCCTCCGCTTCCCGATTCCAAAGTCCTGCCACGGATATGCCCTGATGCATGGCATCGTGGAGGCTGACCTCTCTGACGGCGACCTCCAGCCCTCGGATTCGTAGTGGTCGGGCGGACTTCTGCAGCATTACGAACAGACTTATAGATGTCTTCCCTACCAGGGTCTTCTCGCGGATTATGGAGCGGGCGCAGAGGCACAGAACCACAAATGCCAGCATATGTAGCTTTCATGCTTGACCTTCTTTCGTTGTAGGTGCACACTCCCGAACTTAGTGTCTGAAGACTTCATGATTGGGCGAAACATGCAGCCATCAACCCCGCGGACAATTGCCAAGAGCCTGAACCTAAGCCGAAGGGCCTTTCCCATCTGAGAGGTGGTCCAGGGAGTGGACCCGTTTTTCAGTTGAGCCGGGGACAGCAACCAGCACCGCATCGCCGAACTTGGCCACAAGCTCTCGCAATTCGTCCGTGCGAAGCCACGCCTAGCATGCAACGCTGCTACCTGGACGGAGCGACCGCTAGAGCCCACCCACCTCTTCGTCGTAGACGATCTTGATCAGCAGCACTGCCTCCAAGAGGTAGTCCAGACCACTTGTCGGTGACGCGATCGATGCCTCCCGGCTTCTCCAACAGACGGGTAATCTGCCCTGTGATGGCTACAGTGGCGGCTCTTCACGCCAGAAGACATTTTTGGGTAAGCACCAAGGGGCAAAGAGAGCCGCCAGAAACTGGGAAACACGTGCAGCGGCATCGAGTACAGCTTCCTTAAGCAGCTCCACAACCTCGGCGAGACCGGAGGTCATGTCACGACCCCCTCCCAAGTGCCGCCAAAGGCTTACTGTGTCGAGGTGCAACAGCGTTGACTTGCGACAGCACCAAGTCGGACCTTGGAAAGAAGCCGGGCAAGGAAGGATGCAACACGAGCAGATCTGCGCAGCCACTGAGTTAAGCCGAGACCACGAGCGAGTTTTATATACAGCTTATGCCGCTTATGCCTACCCTTTTGCCGCACAAAGAGCGTGTCCAAGGTCGCCAAGGCGGCGACTAGCGCTGTGACCTGGGGGAAGCTGCCTGCTGATTCTGGCCCTGGGCCCCCTGTTTGAACACCTGGCCTCCTCGCTAAGGTCATCCGACTTGGCGAAGGCCGACGCGGCCAGTGTGTTCAGAATGTTCTGAGCGTCCCCAAGTCGTAGTGCAGAGTTGAGGGCCACGGCAGCCGCCGAAGCAGCATTGCTAGGAACCTGCACCAAGGGGCCCATGAGCCAGGAACTGGAGACCTGAGCGACAAGGCACTTGAGAATTACAACACACGGTTTCCCGGTTTCAAGTATGGAAGCGACTGAGTGCGGAACCGCTCCAAGCCCATCCTCCGCCACTACACCAAGCATGTGCTCCCCTGGTGGGAGCAATAGCCGCAGGGAAGAGACATCGGATGCCTGTGCCAGGAAGATGCCCCCAGCTTGCTCCAGAAGTTCGGGCTGCTCTTGTTGCGCCAGTCCACAGAAGGCCGGCTCCAGGCACCGCTCACCGAGAAACCTCGAAAGACAGCGAGCGAGCTCTCTGTCCCTGGTTTTGGGTTTTAACCCCATTTTTTCCACCTAATGCTCCAGGCAGTCGGCCAAGTGGGTGTAGGGTTTAGGGCCTTCCACGACTCCACAGTTTTCCTGCAGGGTGCTGCGAAGGTCTTCAACAGTAAAGCTTGCGTTTGCTTCTTCAAGCTGGTGCGAGTACAACAGGAAAGAAAGTAGGGCCGACGCTGGCCTCCCGACCAAGAGAATCCAAGGAACTGCCGGAATTGGCGACCAAACTCACATCAGCCGGCAGGGGAAAACGATAGAATCTGTAGACTAAGCCTGAGAGCGGGAGGTCTTCGTCGAACCAACCCGATGTGGCAAGAAGGAACTCCGTCTCAATTCCAGTCCCGACGCTTGGCTGGGTTGTTACGTATCCGCCGGTGGGGGCACCATCTGCGACAAAGGGCACCGAGCGCGCAAGCCGCAAGCCCCTTGCTGCTGCCTCGGCCAAGTTGGCCAAGGACTCGGCCGAAGACTCGATGAGCGCCACTGCGTAGACGTCTCCGGGCACCAAGAAACCCGAGGGAAGTGGTTCCCCTGCCACAGAGATCTCCCCCGGAAGGGTGAGGTTCCTGACACTTGTATCCAAATACAGCAAGATCTTGAACGGGCTGACATTGGATACCAAGGCCCAAACCCATTCCACATCAGCAGACATGCCACAAGCATCGCTGACCAGGACTGTGGCCGTGAACTCCGGAACCTCGCCCAGCAGCTGTCCCGAGACCGGCTGATTGGCGTACCACGGCACGGACACGGTAATTGGCACTGCAGATGCCGGCAATACCTGCACCATCCAAGAGGCAATCTCAAAAGATGCACGGTCGCTGGCCCGAATTACCGTTACGTTGAAGGTGTAAAGGTCTTCCACCAGCTGCCCGGCTGAGATCCGCAGAGCTGCACCCGATGCGCCCGAACCGTCAGTGTTCGTCCAGGTGACCGTGCGGAAGTTGGAAAGCGAATGGCAATTGAAGGCCGTACTGTTAGCAGCACATGACCAGAAGTACTGCGGTTCGCTTTCGTGATCTGGGTCGAAAGACTGCGATGCATCCAGAACCTTACTAGAAACTCTCTCACAGCTTCTGGCCTGCTACGGAAGCAGACATGTTCTGCATGCCACCCAAAGCACAAGCTCGCAGGTTTCGGGCAGAAGTGATGGCCCAGTTACGACGGGTACCATTGGTGCAGCCGCTGCTACGTCGAGCTGAAACACCTGGGTGTCGAAAGACGTCACATCCGGGAAAACGGGGTCTTGCCGGACTCCCTGTACAACGCTCGATGCTGCAAGACCAAGTAGGAAAGCATTATCGAAGAGCCATGCAGCATGCTGTCGCACTTGCGTTGGGCTAAAGGCTGCATTGACGCGAAGCTGGTGCGAGGAGCCCGGCGAAAAGCTGAAGGGAGCAAAGCGAAGCATCCAAGGAGTTATGAGGTTCTCCTGGAGCGAAGCCTGGCACCAACTCCAGAGCTCTCTGCCCCACAGCATCCAAGAACCCAAACTTCGGCTTGGAGGCCTAGAGGTCCCTTCTCTAAGCCATTTCCGAAGGGACAGGCCAGGCCACGTTCTCCAGGGAGAGCCATGGGCCGGATCCAGACCGATACTCCCAGCTAATGCTCACGTTCGCCGAAGAAGCCTCAGGGTTTGCTTACGGTGGAACCCCCCGAAACGCAGTGTCTTAACATGACTTGGCACTTCGACGGTGTTGCGGCATCTTGCGGCCAACAAGCTGCAGTGCAGCTCGATGCCTGTGCGTACCTGACAAGATCACCCATCTCAGAAGCTCTGAGCCTCTCAAGGGCTCTTATGCGCTTTTCGCGGTGGCCTCGCCAAGACATTGAAGGTGACGGACTGGTTGGAGCGGATGGACTTGCTGGGCGAAGCCTCTAGGACTGGGAGCTGCAACTCTGAGAGATCAACCTCCAGAGTCGCCTCAGTGAAAAAATGGCATTTCAAACCAAGGCGCCCAAACGTCCTTCGAAGCCCTCCTTTTGGCCGAGTCACCGAAGTCTCACTCGTGAGGCCAAGCCAGTTCGTGACGGCGAGCACCAGTTCGACATGCACCATTGTGAGCGAAGCATTCGCCGCCACAGCGGCATCGACAGCACTCGCGATGCTCGTCGCTGGCAGCGTAAAGCTCAAGGTCCCATTCTGCGCTGCCAACAGGTCCTGGCAAGGCTAGGTTTAGGAAACATAGTGTAGCTGAAGCCATCAGCATCAGCAAACCCTGTGGCGGGCAGGGGGCTGGCAACCAAACCTTGCAATGGGTTGTCGAAGTTCTCATCCCGGCTCTCAAGTTTTTGATGTCCTGGATCACCTGTCCAGCTTGGAGCTGGCTGCCTGCACCAGTTCGCCACTCCGCTTGAAGCAGCCGCCCAGCACCGCCGCTGGAGAGGGTAGCATCCACCGCTACATCCACCAGGCCACAGCGCTGCACCTCTCAAGTGCCAGCTGACTTTTAACCAATGCGCCGAAGCCGGCTGCGTTCATGAACGTGCCACGTGCAACCATGAACCTGTGCCGGCAACAGCTTCAGTGATGCCACAGCTTCTGGCTGGTCCGACGAGTTGACCGCTGCCTGCAGCGCCTCAAAACTCAGTTCATTGGTAAAGAGCCAGGCATCAAAGAACTCGCGTGCCCAAGGCGCAGGTCCCAAAGCAGGAAGCTCGATCACGTCGCCCAGCTCTAGCGTGGGTTGGTGCCCCAGCATCACCTGCACGGGACTACAGCTGCACGGCCAAACAACCACAGAACGCCTCTGATGGTGCCTGAAAGGCCAGGCCACCCAATAGCCACCGGCACTGTGGTGAAGTGCCCATCCTGCATTAACTCTAGGCCAATGGAAGATGCAATTTCTGCGCCCGTGACTGCCACGATGCTGCAACCAAAAGTCTTCTGCAATGATGCTCCAGGCAGCACAGCATCGCAGTCGGAAAAAGCGGAGACATTAACCTTGCAAACCAAGGCTGAAAGATGTCAGGAATACACAAACTAAAGTGCAAATAATCTTCAAATGTTAACTCGAATGCGAGTTTTCGGCTCTCCAAGGGATCCCAATTCTTGGTCCCAGTGACCGTCTCTGTGAACCGGAGCAGCAGGGTTGTAAAGCCACGCGCGAGCTCCGCAGATTCAAGCCCCAACGCGTCAACCTGCAAAGTCCTGCAAGTTTCGACTCACACACTCCTTCTCAAGGCAGACATGGAGCAGTGTTTGGACTTGAGCGCTTAGGGCTCAAGGGTTTTAAAAAACAACTATGCAACAGTTAATGGAACTTTCTTTAACTTTCGTCGGATTGCCTCAGGCACCATAGAGTTGCTGTTATCCACTTGCCTGTGAGGCCGGCGACCCCTCTCATCGGCACCTGCTCCGGCAGCCAACGCGTTCACACACTTTACAGGCGTGCGATGTCACGGACTTCGGATGGTGCATGCGTGACCGTTATGGCCGCTGAGTGGCCACCAGGCAAGATCGGCAAGGTTGACGGCCAACATGGAGGCGACTATGCCCTCTGGCGGGTACTAAAACGCTTGAGCAAAAGTCAGAGGTGAGCGGCTACAGCCCCAGCACAGCCCGTGAGAGAAAGCAAAATTTCAGAAAATGTCTGGGGTCGTCCTTGCCTACAGGCTCACGCCTTGACAACCCGAAAGAGAGAAGCCGAAGGATTTCAGACTTACGGAGAACTCACGGCCGCTACAGGAACTTTGATTTCCTAGCTAGTGAGATGCATCCGACGATAGTTGAGGGCACCATGCTGTGCTGACCCTGATACTGCAAAGTTCTCGTTTGACAGATCCTTTGGACCTACACTCTGCGCGATGTGACCGAATGCGCTTGAAGCGATGAAGCACCCGCTCACATGTTTTTCCGTTGCACAGCGGGGTCAGATGACTTCCTCGGAGTGAGCTACACCTCGGCCGCTGTCGAGGGAGGCTCAGAGGGCGACTTACTCTCGGGGAATGGTCCGAGCTGCTGAATCTGACTTCTGTCAGGCAGGAGCTTCTCGAGGAGTGGAGGCATTCTGCTCACCTTGACACGGGTAGAAGCAAACCAAAATCTTCCCAGACGTCAAGGTTCGCTTCACTGAAGTCCGAAGGACCAGCCCCCCCGCCCCTGCATTCGTCCGAGAGGCTATCTGATGAGCCTTGGGGCATTCATGCAGCATTCAGACACGATCCCGACAGTGGACTGAAATAAAGCTACAGAACTTGGAATTGAGCTTGTCAGACACCCTTTAGGTGCGACCGCAGCAACTTCTGGGAGGAAGATCATCATCCTCGACACCTGATATCATCAGAGTACCAGGGGCAGCGGTGCTTGGTTTGATCTCTCGAGTAGAGCAGTGTGTGCTTAACTGATGTCCTCTCGAATCCTCTCGACTATCCTTAACTTGATGCTGCAACTCCCGAAAAGTAGGACTCATGATGACCCCTTCCCTCGAAACAAGCAACCCCCCTCAAGGAAGCACAACGATGCACCTTCAGGCACTCCCGGTGGTTGGAGAGGCTGTTGTTTGGGCAAAGGCATCGCCAACCTGGGGTTTTTTGACACAAGCCACAGTCCCACAGTCCCTTCCCCTCCCAGTTTAGCAGCCTACCCCTTGAACGACTGCCAAGCCGCTGCATTCCCGGCCTCACCGCGCTGACTGACGGTGGCACGAGCGGTACGCGCGGGTGGTCGCCACGCGTCATCACTGGTGGAGTCACTGGCTTGTCGAGCCTGCCGCTGGGTCGGGGAGGTGGTAAAAGCGGCTGGGCTGGTGCGCTAGAGAGCGGAGGTGGTCCCAGTCCCAGGAAGCGATCGCTTGGTGCTGGTGGCACGATGGGCTGCCTCGGTTGGTCTCCCTGCGGTATTGGCGGTGGCGGAGGCCGCGGCACATCAGTGGACTTCGCCTTGGTACAAAACATGAACAAACTCGAGCAAGGGCAATGCTAGCTGCTAGCTTTTTGACTCAACCCCAACTCGCACCCAAGTCTGCAAGTCAAGGGACTGGTGGAATGGAAGCAAAGCTTGGGCGATGTGAGAGCTGATTCCACTCATGGGGATCGTTCTCGCGGATGGATGGTATTGGCGGGGGGCTTGGTCTGCCACTGTCGCTCCCACTCGTAATGCTCGGAGGCCGAGGTGGCGGCAAAGGCAGGGTGCTCTGCGCAGGTGCAGAGCGGCGGGGTGGGGGAGGTGGAGGTATTCCCTTGGCCTGTGTGGGGCTTGGTGGCCTGCAGAGGGCAAAGTCGCTAGCCCAATCAGAAAAGGCTTGGTCTACTCGCACGTCAATGCGCTCGGCATTCTCTAGCATGGGTGGTAGGAGAGGTGGTGTTGTGGACTTTTGGAGGCTCGGCCTTCGTTGTGACCAGGGGGGTGCCGGAGGGTTGACATCTGCAATCGACGGACGCTTTGGAGGCGGTGGAGGAGGCGTCTTGGGCATGGCAGGAGCATCTGCGACCGCATTCGGCACGCCGGACCCGATAATATCACTGAGTTCCTGGGCAAAGGATTGAAAATACTCCTCCTTCTCATCCGATTGCCTTGCCACGGGGAAATGTGGCCTCGGAATGCTTGGAGGTGTCCCTGCCACAGACTGGCCGAATCCAAAGGAGCTGCCACGGGACAAATCTGGCTGCGAAGCAGACTGTGCCAAATCTCGTGCCCAATCCCAGAAGTGCTCCTGTGCGTCACGCTGGGAGTGTGGACCTGGCTGAATCTCCTCCGGCGGTTTCGCAGATGGCTCTTCCCAGGCTCGTGTGGGCCCGCTTGGTGGCTCGACGGGCTGCACCCGAATCTTCGCCTTCTGCACTGATTCGGCCATCCACTTGCAAGAGGCTTTGGTATCGATATTCACCTTCAGGTTCACGTTTCCAGCATACGCCTGCCAGGCGCATAACCCAATCACAATCACAAAGGCAATCGAGGCGACTGAAGTTCCAGCCACCATGCCAGTGTCTGAAGGTTCAGGCTCAATGACGGGGGGGGTGGTCGACGTCCCGGTCGAAGTGGCTGAGACCGTCCGAGTCGAGCTGGAGGTCGCCGTTGCGAGCGGCACTGGCAGGTAGATGCCAGCATAAGCACCACCCAACGTTGTTGCGAGGCAGTCGACTGTAGTGGCTGTGTAGCTGGTGGGCAGGAACCAGGACGTGACGCTGGTCGACCAGCCTTGGTCATGTTGCATTGCCTCCGGGCAGCCACAATGTAACGTCCACTATCCCCCTTCACGTAGACATGTGGGGGCTTGCTGAGATACTACAACACAGCACTGACCTCATGTGGCTCCCTTGCGACTACCTCCTTCGCTCATTTGCGGGTGTGTTTTCCTATCTCGTGCGCCTGCCTTCTACCAGTACATTTGAGAACCTCTACGGCCAAGGATGTGGTATTGCCATATTGCCTTGGCCTGCCATGCTCCAGTTCAGTACGACGGGAACTCACAAATAATTGCCGCAGCTATCGACAGCAACCCACCCGGTCCGACATATCCCGACATGGGGTTTTCGCCAAACTGATCCCACAACTTCCACATTCACACAGCGCCCGTTAAGCAGGTTGGACGGCGGTCGTTTCACGCATCTGCAACTTTTGGTCTTCGGCATCTAAACAACAACATCGGTCAGAGGGCCAAGAGCGTCCCTGTTGGTGCCTTCTGACATATCCTGTGACCCATGAGGATGCCAGCGTAGGCGCTGGAGAAATACAACCCCCACTCCCCGCCTGTTGGAGCGGGTCCAACATAGCACAGACCGCCTCGAAGACGTAGCCCTCTGGAGCGGTAGCCGGATCTGGAGCCGAGGGCCTCCAGCTTTTTCGATTTTCTGAGGCCGGACGGCAAAGACGCATCCCTCTTTTTGTGGCCAAGCTACAGATGCAAAGTCATCGCGATGGGTTCAGCCAGGTTCGGGACAGTCACTATGGTATCGCATTGCTTGAGTTCCAACACTTTCACCGTCGCAGCTGCTGGAACGTAGAGGTTGATACCCACACCTTCAGAGCAACGACACTGGCCCTTGCCTTCATCAGCTTCATTCTTGTAAAAATCATGGTCGATCAAAGGACTTCCCTTGCACCATCTTGCAGCTGAGCCGCTGGTATTGAGATATCCGAATGGGTTGCCTCAGGTGAACCCGTCTCTTCAAGACTTCGAGTCGACAGGGCCAAGGTTGCGGCACGTGCTACCAAGCTGCTCTGAACCCAATCAGTCTGCTGGACAGCCAAAGTGGTGCACCCACTTTGAAGACGTCGGCCGCTGAGGCCACTCAAAGCGTTGCCAGGTATCTGACGCAGTCACATGCCAAGAGAAGATTGGAAACGAGTAAGAGGCAGCCCACCTGCAAGCCCTCGCCAGTAATACCATTTTCAACAGCTGCGCCGATGTCCTCCTTCTGGACTTTGATTTCCTGAAGATGAGGGAAAAATCGAAGGAGGCCGCTTGCTGGCATCCGCATGCTTCTGTCTCTCCCGAGCTGGGTCCGAGCTGCGAGGCCCTTGCCCGTGTCATCCACGGAGCTCAGCGTGGTGGAGCCGCCCACCGGCGTCGTCGCCAGGGCCGCGCTGCCCAGTTGCGAGGTCTTGGGGGCAAGGCAGGCCATGGAATGGCATGCCCTAAACAGCCACAAGAAGGCTCAGAGGCTCAGAAGAGTCAAAGCAAAGGAGAGCGAGACTCTGCCGAGGCGAGGGCCATGACTTCAAGCTTTGCGGCACGGCTGGCAGCAGCAGCTTCCGCTTGGCCCGTCTGCACTGCGGCATAGCTGTCTCCGACGGCAGAGATGGAGCTCAGCAAGGCATTGCCAGCAGCCTCATCCACACCTGCAACCGAAAAACGCATCAAAATGCGCCCTCACGGCCCTCACTCACAGCTGTCGTTGCTCGGGGCCTGTTGCGCCCAGCGCCGCCTCGGTCAGTGCAGCAAAGGAGTCAGCCCGGCGCAAAATCACTCACAGCAGAAATTCCTGAAAGCACGAGACATGAAAACACCGTCAATGAGGTCAAGGGAGAGTGAAAAAAGACGATGCTAAAGCGCGCTTGAGCTGCTTCAAGCACGTTGGTGAGTGCATCGGAAGCTTGGTCAGCCGATGCAGCATCAGCAGTCGCACTGCCATTGGTTCCCGAGGACTTTAAGACTTCAGTCACCACGCTGCCGAACTTCTGAAGGCCTCGCACGCACGAGGCATGTGAGACAGCAACTGCAGCAAGGTGCAGATTCCACATTGGCAGCATTGGTCGAGGCCCTGGCTGCCAGCATCTGTTTCTACAATATCCGAGGCCACCTTCAGAGCCTGCAATCGGAACCAAGCATGGCCACGGTACTGCTGAACTTATTCTAACACTTCGTGCTTCCAGCACCACTGCTCTCTGCCTCAAACTTCTTCGCGTTGGCTTCCTCCTGGCCAGCCGTGTCGTTCGTGGCCTCAGCATGATGCACCAGCACAATTGAACTGTTGCTGGCCTCGAAAGCCAAGCGGCCAGTGGCACCGAGGTCAAGGAGTCCAGCATTCCCAAAATCACCCCAGGATCTGCACTCTGCAATGCTGCGTCTATCGCAGCACTGGCTTCTGCCACGCTGAGGCCGCCTTTCAGGGATGAGAATCGCCAGTCTTAAAGTATGTGTACCATGCGCGTAACAGATGTGACAGAAGGCTCGGCATCTCAGCACCTGCTGGAACTTCTACCACGGGCCCTGGTGCGTAAGCAACTGAAATTGCTCCTTCGCAGGATCAGAAGCTCACCTCGTCTACGCATAGACCCAAGCCCATGATGCCCACTCCTAAGGGGTCTCTGGCAACCGCCGCGGTGAAGTAAACGCCGGCTGCGACCTGCAGAAGGCTGCAAGGAGCATCTCTCCACCCCCAAACCGCAGTCTCCACTCTCGTCGAATCTCTGGCAAGCAGCGGAAACGTTCCATGGAGTAGCGTTGGCGGAGATATTCTTCAGGAAAGTTCCACCCATCTTGGTCCAAAAGCTTGGACTGGAAGCGTCCGTGAAATCCTCGGACAGTCGCCGCATGTCGAGCGTTCACAAATGCACCAGGGCCGCGGCACTGGAAAATGCTGTCGACCAAGACACCACTGAAGGATGTGAGAACGCCCCATTGACTGTGATGCCTGTGCGGTTTCTGTAAATGCATTCGAGGCTTTGCAAATCAAAACAGGCTCGCCTCCAGCTCCATCGGCAGAAACTGTGCCGTTCCTTGGCAGGTATAGGGACTGAGATGGACAGCTCTCTGCCGGCAGACAGCTGCGACTGCAGCATAAGACTTGCCGCTTCGTCTCTGTTCGTAAGGGAAAATGTAAAACGCGAACGTGTTGTTCTCCAATGCTTCGTCGACCCAACCTGTGGTTGATCCTGCGAAAGCAGTGGTGACGGCAAAGCCAGACTGCGGCGTCATGGTCACCATGCCATCCAAAGGCGGATAATCCGCAATAAACCTCCGACAGATTGATGCACAAATATGGACTGACACTCTTGCGCGCACACACACACACACCATGGGCCTCCATCATTACAGTGACTACAGCCGAGGAGCCGCTGGGACTTTGCCACTTTGGCTCCCAGCCCTTCAGCTTCGTCCACATCTGCAGGATTTTGAAGCTTGAGATCTGCCAGGGTTTCCTCACTTCACGGTGCGGCTCGGTACAAATTGGCTTCGACCATGTGCTACTTCTTGCTGCTAGCTGCCACTTGTAACTCTTGTTTGGCCAACTTCTACGCCTTCTTCTTTTTGCATCGAGTGTGCTGGCCCCCGTCTGGCCTTCCGGAGGATTCGGGAGGCATCTTGTCAACAATAGGAAGCGGGGGCCAGATTTGCGGCCTTTGCCATAAATTATAGGATGCGGGGAGCGATATTTCCGCCCGCACGGAGCGTTTGGCGAACTCGCGCCCGTTTAGTTTCGGAGGAGCTTCCTTCCATGTCGCGAACTTCCATACGGCGAGTTGCGCCCAGTTACGTAGAGCCGAGGATCGAAATTGAGGTGGACTTGCATTGGTTTCGGTTGGTGCGGATAGATGGACCGAATAATCCGGCTAAGCGATTCAATGCCAATGAACCGCGTTTGGGAAAATCGTCCAATCGCCTCAGGTCCTAAAAACTGCTTCTCCTCCGCCTTGCTAGTAACCGGGCTCTCTCTTCTCCTTAATCTTAATCTGCACGAGACTAAAGGCAGCGCCCAGCAGAACGCCCCCATGTTCGGAGGGAGTGAGAAGCCACTGCTCACCCAGGCCTGATGTAAGAGATGCTTAAACTGGGCCGTTTAGCTAAGCCCCTGAGCATGCTTGACTTGATTGGGCTTGTCTTTCTCAGGACGGCTTTCGACATCAAGGAGGCGCTCTCCCTCTGGGCAGCTCGGGGCTCTCGACTCTCTTGCCCTCACCTCGCACCCCACAGCAAGAGGCATTGAGTGCAGCGGAGTTTCCGGGTCAGACATTTGCATCAAAGCGTACTCGTACTGAAGGCCTCACACAATAGTGCTGTTCAACATGCAAAGAAGGACCTCAGGTGCTCGTCTTGAGCTCAGGCGCCCTTGACGAGGAGTTGCCCACGGAAGTCACTCGTCCTCACTGTCAGCGTTCCCCCGTCTGGCAGGAGCTCTGTCTCCAGAAAGGCGACGATTTTTGATGGGATGCGGGCTTCCTCAGTTGTGTGGCGCGCATAACCTACTGCAAGTTTCCACAAATCGCTGTTTTGCCTAGCTCCAGCCAGCCTCAAAGGAACCCGAAGGTCCACACGCGGTCTACACCGCTGCCGATTTTTCGTTTGCACATCATGGTCAGCCCAGTGGCCACCAGTGCCAAGGTCCACCCACATGACTGCGGCGGGCTACAACCTCTGGGCAGCGCAGTTGTTAGGCATGTCTCGAAAATTGTACACGGCATCCAACGTTTGTTAAATGTAGATCAAACTCAACCTGGTGAAGCTGGAGGGAAGCAAAGGGTAGATCTGGGATACCGGGTTGCCAGCTGTCTCGGAACGTGGTGCAATCTCTGCGGCTGTAGCTATGGAAAAAGCTTCACTCTAGTTGCAGTGGCCTTCGATGCCAGAAACCGTCGCGGAGGCAGGGCCAAGCAAGTGGCCAACTTGGGTCGACACTGCCTGGCACAGCGGTTGTGCCAGCATGCGATCCCAACAAATTGGAGTAGCTTGCCGCAGGCCTGCTCTGGAAGCCATGGTACGTCGAAGTCTGTTCGTGGCAGGGATGGCGTGGCCTTGCAGAAAAACAAGCTTTTTTTCTGAGCTAGCCTTGCGCTTGGGCGAGCTTCACCACAGCCACACTCGCCATCCTAGCCATTTGTCACCCAACAAATGTGCACACTCCAATGCTGGCTCAGGTACAGTCGAGCTCGTCGTGGTAAACGTCCTTGGTTGGACAGAGCATGAGATTGGACGCAAGACGAGCGGCAAAAGCTGGGCAAAAGTGAAAGCCAACAGTCGGAGAGCTACATGATGCCACAGTACCAACCCCAGTCAGAGACGGCCTGCAGGCCTTCGGATCTCGCCCGCAGCCGCAAACTTTCTAGGCATTTCGCTGAGCTTCGTGGCGGTGCTGGAGCTGGTTGTGAAGGTGGTGCTTGTGGTTGATGTGTTGGTGGCACTTGTCGAGGTGGTGCCTGAAGCAAGAGGCAGCAACAGATTGAAAACAACAGCAAGCTTTGCTACTGTCGTCTGCCGCGGCACTTGTGGAAGTAGCTGACGTAGAAGTGCTTGTGGATGAAGTACTCGATGTGCTTGAGGATGTGCTACTTGTAGAAGTGCTTGATGTGCTGGACGCAGTCGTGCTCGTAGACGATGTGCTGCTTGAACTGCTGCTGGTGCTTGTGCTGGACGTTGAAGTTGTAGAAGTTGATGATGTCGTTGAGCTGGAAGTTGAGGTGCTGCTTGATGTTGTGCTCGACGATGTGGTAGAAGTGGTGGATGTCGAGGTGCTGCTGGAAGAGGTAGTCGTGGATGAGGTCGATGAGCTTGATGTGGACGTGCTCGTTGAGCTAGTTGTGCTAGTGCTAGTTGAGGATGACGTGCTAGTCGAAGTTGTGCTGCTCGAAGATGATGTAGACGAGGACGTCGTCGAGGTGGATGACGTAGTGGAGCTGGACGACGAGCTTGACGTACTAGTGGTACTTGTGGTTGATGTGCTACTTGATGATGACGTGCTAGTGGAGGTGGAAGAAGTTGACGTGGTTGTTGTGGACGACGAGGAAGAGGAAGAGGTAGAAGTGCTGCTGGATGTTGTGGTAGTCGTGCTGCTTGAGGTGCTTGTTGTGGATGTCGAAGTGGTAGACGAGGAAGAACTTGATGACGTGGAGGTGGAAGATGTACTGCTGGATGAGGTGCTAGTAGACGTGCTGCTGGTGGTGCTAGAAGTAGTGGAAGATGTAGAGGTAGAAGATGTGGAGCTTGATGTGCTGCTTGTAGACGAGGAGCTCGTGCTTGTTGTTGATGTGGTGCTGGACGAACTTGACGTCGATGATGACGACGTCGAAGACGTGGACGTTGAGGATGTCGATGTGGAAGACGTCGATGTTGAAGTGGACGAGGTGGAAGACGTTGATGTGGAAGTGGTTGTCGTGGAAGAAGTGGATGTCGAAGTGGTCGATGTAGAAGAAGTTGAGCTGGACGAGCTTGATGTGGAAGAAGTCGAACTAGACGAGCTTGATGTGGAAGACGTTGAAGTTGTAGATGTCGTCGAGCTGCTGGAGGATGTCGATGTGCTGGTGCTTGTGGAGCTAGACGTTGACGTCGTGCTGCTACTGGTACTGCTGGTCGATGTTGATGTTGATGTCGTGCTGCTGGAGGATGTGGACGTGGAAGTCGTGCTAGACGAGCTGCTTGTGGTGCTTGATGTGCTTGAAGATGTGGAGGTGGAAGTTGTTGAGCTTGAAGAGGTGGAAGTAGACGAGCTACTTGTTGAGGAGGTGGTCGTTGATGTCGTGCTGGTGGATGACGTGCTCGTGCTCGAAGTTGAGCTACTGCTTGTTGAGGTTGATGTGGATGTGGACGACGTGGACGAAGTTGATGTTGTTGAAGTTGTACTGCTGCTGGAGGAAGATGTTGAAGTGCTCGATGTGCTGGTGCTGGACGTGGTGGTTGAAGAGGTCGTTGTGCTCGTGCTGGTTGTAGTAGACGAAGATGTTGACGAAGTTGTTGTGGAGGATGTGCTACTCGACGTGGACGATGTCGTGCTGCTGCTTGTGGACGAGGAAGTTGTGGAAGAGCTGCTTGTAGAAGT